CCACTCAAGCTGACTCCCCCGTCCCTGGAAGCTTCACTCACTGCACTCTTCCGAGACGCTTCTCGGGTTGGGCTGCCTCAGCGCTGCCTGCCGCCTGTGCTTTCTGTCCTGTTCTGTCTACACAGGGCGGGCTGCTCGCCCCAGCAGCTCAGCACGTCTCCACGCCGTCCAGGCGAGGCCCTGGGCCGCGGGCTAGTTCTGGGCGGAGGGCTGAGTGAGCAGCTGGACTTCCCAGAGAGTCTTGGCCACTGAGGCCTGTTCTGGGCTGGGCCCTGCTCCACGCCATGCTCAGGCCACGGCTTTGGATGGCACCCTGCTGGGAGCCTGACCAGGAGCTCCCCTGGGCCAGCAGGTCCCAGGCCCTGGGGTACCTGGGCCCCACAGAAGCCCCCTTCGGCCCCTGATCCAGGTTCTGCTTGGCCAATGTCCACTCTCTCCCGTGTGCCCCAAAACGGGCACGCCCACCGCCCTCCCTCCCACCTCGCAGGGCTGGGCCTGGGGGCACATTCGGCTGCAGGGGGTGGGGGGTGCCTTGAAGCTGCAGGGCTGGGGCGATGGCCACTCACGGGTGGGGCTTGACTCGGATGTAGTTCTTGGGAATGAACCCCTCGGCGCCCCGGAGCTCAGCCTTGTACCAGTTCTGGTCGTCCTCCATGTTCAGGATCTGCAGGAGGAGAGACACTCAGCCACCCGCCGGCGAGGCCCCCGCTCAGCGCCTGGCGTCACCCGTTAGCCCTGGGCATTCCACAGGGGCTGCCACTCGGGGTCAGGCCTGGCTCCTCAGTCCTGCGCCCCCAGCCCCGGCCAGCCTGTCCCCAGGAGGGCACCGTGTCCCTGGCTCCTCAGTCCTGTGCCCCCAGCCCCGGCCAGCCTGTCTCCAGGAGGGTACCGCGTCCCTGGTGGGGCTGCAGCTGGGCTCAGGCGCTGGCACCCAGACCCCGGCAGCCTGGCTCCTGGGCTGGGCTTGAGCGCAGGGTCCCAGAGCATTCACGCCCAGCACTAAGCCCAGGGGCAGGTCGGAGCCCCCGGGGAGGTCAGGGAGCCCCAGCCCAGGCTCAGCGCCTGGTGGCCCCTCAAGTCTGCACTTGCACCGCCCTCACAGTCTGCTTCGGGGGTGACCACTCAGCAGGAGGCGGTGGCATTCAGGCCCTGGGAGCAGGTAAAGGAGACCTCTGGCTGGGCGAGGCTGCGGCCTGGCCGGCTCTGGTCAGGGGCTCCTCGCCCACAGCACGAGGCCCCTGCACCCGCAGGTGGCTGAGAGGAACCGAAACAGCCGAGTCGGTGGAAGTCGCTGCGGGTGAGCAGTCAGGCGGCTGTGGGACCCGCAGGCCAGGCCTGCAGAGCCCCGCATGAAGCTTGGGGCTCCTCCTCCCTTCTCTGGGCAAGCTTTCCGTGCATCACCCTGATTTTCATACACCCCTCTGAGGTCAGCATCACCACAGGCTACTACACTGCACAGATGGGGAAACAGCCCCGAGAGGGGAGTGAGCCAGGCCGCAGCGGGGCGAGGGTGAGGGGCCAGGGTGAGGGGCGAGGGTGAGGGGCAAGGGTGAGGGGCGAGGGTCAGGGGCGAGGGTGAGGGGCAAGGGTGAGGGGCGAGGCAGGGCCCGCAGCGGCAGGACTCCGGGCCTGGGGTCCGGCTCAGCTGGTTTAAGGGAGACCCTGCTCGCCAGGTTTTACTCTCACTCTACCTCCCACTTTGTCTCGGACCCGAGCCTGGGAGGCGTCTCTCCTGTTAGTCCTGCCGCAGGCCCCGCGTTGCTGGGTCCAGTGGGGACATCGCTGAGAGGAAATACTGGGTAGAGAGCAGTAGGGGCGCTGCCAGAGCGGAGGCTGGGCAGGCTGCCTGAGGCAGCAACTCAGACAAGCATTTTCCAGGAGAAGCTGAGATGGCCTTCCCGGCCCGGGCCCGAGCCTGACCCAGCAGGCAGGCCCCCTCGCCTGCCCAGGCGCTGTGAGTCCTTCCTTCCTGCCCTGTAGCCGGGGCAGGGGCAGCAGCCCAGGGACAGACGGAAGCAGGTGGCTGACTCAGGAA